TGTCAGAATTGTGTAAGTACTCAGAGCATTGAAGATAAGACATGGCTGTGGAGGATAATCTTGTTGCAGTTAGTGCTCCACATTGAGCCCTTCTCATTTATGCTGAACCTGTTTTAGTATGAAACAAGCCCTGACATGGTTGAGCCTTTGATATTTGGTGTGCAGGTCTTACTCCCCCAGTCTTGTTTCCTTTGAAGATTGCTAAGCGTTATGCAGCACTTTCCTTTCTTTTAAATTTTAAGAAATTACTTTTAAGTTGTGACTTATAATTCATGCTTAATGGATACTACACAATGAACAGCATTAAATGTAGTTCAGACAGCTCGTTTAAGCCTCCATTTTGCAGGTATTTATGAGTTTTGTGCAATTTTCCATGCCAAATATTTCTGACTTTTATAACACTTCCCTTAGAGCTTGGATTTAAGCATGCAAGTCTTTTGAGTCTTTAAAACTGTAGGCATTATGTATGTATGTACATATGAGTATATAAAAGCAATTATATGCTGTTGTTTTTCAAATAACTCAAGAGTTACTCTTGGCTACAGTAAAAAGAAGTAGTGGCATTACTGGCTATGGTTTTGAAATAAAATTAGTTTTAAATTTGCCAGTTCTCAAGTACCATCGTATGAAGCCTAAACTCAATGTGCTCCACCGACAGCATTCTCCATGAACACTTGGAAATTGTCATCATTTCTTACTCCATCTTTTGAAAATAAAATGTAAGAAATGCATTAAAAAAGGATAAACTGAATAGTACAGAAGACAGAAGGACTCAAAACCAAAACAGGGAACATAACGTATGTTACATAAGAAACAGCCTTTACTGAAGAGATTATAAGCCTCTGTGACTATTTAGTAGAAATACCATGAGAAGAAATTGTTTCTATTGAAACTTGCTAGTATTCTGACTATGAGAAATTCACTTAATTTTAACTGCTTTGCTAAGAATAGAAATGCCATGCCCAGTATGCAGTATGCTAATGGTATTTTATAGAACCTAATACATACCTCTGTTAGATTTTAAAAATATATTTTAAAGGACAATTTTGTTTGGGATGCTAGTATTTTCAAAAGAATGCATTAAATACACTAGTTGCTGATATCACACAGATGTTGGGGCTTTTCCTAAATATTCCCTGCTTTCTGCTAGCATTTACTAATCTTTACTTTCCTGCTTGTAAATGATGAGAGACATTTGGAGAGAGCAGTGTAGCTCTGTTCTAAAGTAGGTGTCTTCAGACAGATAAATTAACATCTCTAGTATGAGTGTTCAGTATGAGATAAATGGATTTTAATTTAAATACAGACTATTGTAAGTTCTGCTAGAAATAAGTGGTTCACAACCCTGGATATGAACCAGAACAGATGTGATCATCTGCTTCTGAGTCACCTGGGACAGTTCCTGCCTGATTTTATGCCTGTGGCCCAAAACAGCAGTGTGAATCACAGGATTGTTCAGGTTGGAAAAGACCTTTGAGGTCATCAAGTCTGCCTGTTAACCCAGCCCCTCATGCTCAGCACTAAACCATGTACTTAGTGCCATATGCACAGGTTTTTTGAATGCTTCCAGGAATGGTGACTCCACCACATCATGGGCTGCCTGTGCCGATGCCTGACCACCTTTTCAGTAAAAAGTTTTCCCTAAAATCCAGTCTTACACAAGATGTGGCAGGGTTTTGCTTGGGGACAGTGGGAAAGCATTGCTTATATGTTTATATAGGGTCACAGTGAATAAGTGACGGAACTTGATGTTAACTTGAAGTTGTTGTTAAGCTTGTGGATGAGCTAATTTCTCCAGTGACTTCATCTGCTGTGATGAAAGGCTCATGTCCAGTCATCCAGTGGTCAGTCAGGCACTGTAATGTCAGATGCTTGTTTAGCCTGGAGAAAAAGAGCCTGAGAGGAGAGCTTTCTGTTCTCTAGGAGGGTGGAGGGATGTGGGAGTTGGTCTCTTCTCCCAAATAACAGCTGGTAGAAGAGGAAATGCTATCAAGTTGTGCCAGGGGAGGTCTAGATTGTAAACATTTCTTAACAAATTGTGTAGTGGTGCGTTAGAACGGGCTGCCTAGGGAAGTCACCCTCCTTGGAGATATTTAAAAGATGTGTAGATGTAGCAATTAGGGACATGGTTTAGTGATGGCCTTGGCAGTGCTGGGTTAGTGGTTGAACCAAGAGATCTTAGAGGTCTTTTCTAGTCTTAATGATTCCATGCTTCTATGATTCTGCCCTGCTCCAAGTCCTCTGAATGAGTCCTGCTGCTGACTGACAAGGTGGGGATTGCACGCAGGGTGCAGTGAGAGGTGAGGTGTTGGCAGAGCCAATGCTCTCCAACATGCAGCTCCTCTGGGCACTTCCACTCTAAAGCAGGGCACGGATTTGGCCAAGATTTGGCATGGATTTGGCCAAGTGCTGGTCTTCAGTGACAAAAGGGGAATAGCAGACTGACACAGAGATTGTTTGAGGGCAACTGGCTAATGGACCTCCAGCACTATCCAAGATAGACCAAGAAAACTACATTTTCTAACTACAGGTCGAGGATCCTTCTCACACACAGTGATGCTGTTTGTGTGGAAGTTATTTTTGATAAGCGAGGCCTGACATTTAATCTGATGCTTTCAGATGCATTGCTTGTATCTGTTTTCAAGTCAGTGCATTTCTGAAAAGGATACTGTTTCATTATATTATTTAAACTGTAAGTATTAGAAGGAAAAATGTAATTTCATTAAAGAATTAAATATAGAATTAAAACTAATGCAGTGAAAGTAGGTTTAAAACTTTGTTAGTAGAAACAAAGCAAACAAACAAAAAAACCCCAGTGTCATGATACTGCTTTTATGTAGCCAAAACAAGAGGAGGATTTTACATGCTCTGTAAAATTACACGTGCTTTATCTGTGAAGAATTGCACTTAAGATGAAAAAATGAGAAAAACAGCACTGTAGACTGAATAGCATATCAAATGTGTATTATGCTCTGTCAGAACATCTTGTTCATTACCTGTAAGCACAAAACTTTTTGGGAAACCTTTCCAGAAGAGTTGGATTTCTGGGGGGAAACCTTTCCAGAAGAGTTAGACTTTAACTTTCTCACATCCAGGTTGTGCATACTGTAGCAAAGTCCACAATCTGGATGATAAACAAAGGAGCAGATCTGTGTTAAAACAGAATTATTTCCTATAAGAGCTTTAAAAAGATTTCCAGTAGCTTTGTAAAGTCAGTAAATCATTCAAGAAGCTGAAAAAATGGATCTTTAATTGGATTTTTTGAACTATTTGTTACATATTCTTTGTGGAAGACAGTCTTTCTCATAAGGAGCTGTGATATTTATTAGACATTAGAGTTTTGCTTAATCCCTAAAAATAAACAAAATTGATAACATAAAATTAAACATAATTGGTAACTGTCTGGTATTTCTTATCTCTTTATTGAAGGGCAACCTACAACCATTGCTTTTAGGTTGTTCTTCAGCATAAATAAAAGGGGTAGCTTTATGTACAAGGCTGTGTTTATTTACTGAGAGCTCACTTTAGAATAGGAGTGCCACTCTGGCCATCCCACAGATGTGTCATCTTAGGGTGAAAAACAACTCTGAGTATGAAGTGTTTGTATAACAATATTGTGTATGGAGCTTAGCCTCTTCTGTGCATAAATAAATTTGCTGTTGAGGACTCAAGGAGTTTAGCCTTTGCTCTGCAGTGAAAGACATTGGTCTCTGTTTGTTCATCTGTGCTCTGTTTTTTTTTCAAAGATGTCCATCCATTGGTTTAATTTAAGACAATTTTCTAGAAATTCTTTAATCGATACCTTTTTTATCTAAAACCCTCAAAACCAGGGTTTATTCCAATGTTTGTAAAAGAATTTGAGACTTTTTTTTACATTGAGTTGTTCTCAGACTTTGAATTTTCTATGTATTGTTATTAGGCACTGTACTGTTGCTTGGACAACTCAATCATGTACAGAAAAGCTTGCAGCAGACCAAAGTTGGTGTTTTTAGGCCACTGTAATAATTCACAGTAGCTGTAATTCAAAGAATGACAGGTGTTAACTGCAGATCAAAGTGTTATATGCACCAAAGTATTGAGTGCATGGATTCAGTTGGCAATGGATGACCGAATATGGTCCTCTCCAAGTCTCATAGTCTAGTTTGCCAAAGCAGGAGTGGTTCAGGGAATGTCTGTAAAGTCTGTTTTTCATTAAAAATGTTCTTTGTTGCTAATTCATCCTCAGCTTTTGCTTAATGCGTGCAGAATATTATGATGGTGTTAGTGATATTAAAAACCCCCTTAAGACCCACTGCACTCTGAAGATTTTTTTGCCCTAATGTTTTCACACTGAGTTATATCAAGTTCATTTTATACTTCCTCTACCATTAAATATCTTGTACAATTGGAATAGGAATTGATTAAGAAGAGCAACTTCCTTCCTTTGAACATTTTGCTGAGCATGTATTAGTATCAAAGTGGATTATTAGAGCCTGAAGCTCAGATCTCAATCAGGAATTCTAATAAGTAATCAATTCTGGATGGAATTTTTTGTTCTGCTTGATAATATGTATTTTTACTCTGCTTTCTTACACTTGTATCAGCACTTTGTGAATGTACAAGGACATGGGGATGTTGGGATTGTTTTCTTCTCCTGGAGATCAAGTGAGGTGAAAGTCTGATCTCTTAGGAGAATCTAACTGTATAATTACTGTTAAGAGGTTGTCAGTGTGCTTGATAGTGATAAAGTGTAGAGGACTTAATCCCAATTTAGCATGAATTTACAGATGAAGCTTTAAAAGAACTAGAAGTTCCTGTGCTAAGCAATGAAAACCTTTGCCCTCTGCTAATTGATGCTAAAAATGAATAAAAATTACGCAAAACTTAAGGAAGCTATTTTGCACTGCTGCGTATAGAGAATTATTTTTATTTTTGAAAAATACCGACCTCTGCATAGCATTTGAGTTTCCCCAGACCTGTGTGTGTGACAGCAGTGCTGATTGTTTCTCCCTGTGTTGCAGCCCCCAAGGACAATGAAGAGCGTGTGTTCCGCGAGCGGATGCGCCCCAGGAAGCGCCAGGGTGCCGTGCGGCGCAGGGTGCACCAGGTCAATGGACACAAGTTCATGGCCACCTACCTTAGACAGCCAACGTATTGCTCGCACTGCAGAGACTTTATATGGTACGCAGCACCTTTGGCTTTGCTTTCTTTGCAACCCTGAGTTGGGGAGTTGGCACACCTTCCTGCTCACGGCAGTGAAAGTGGTATACAGCAGCTTCTTTTCCTCTTCATTTTGACATTTACCTGTCAACAGCATTGCAGATGATAGCAGAAGGCTGTTAAACCTCCATCACAAATATCAGAATTGGTTGTATTTGGGGTTCTTCTCCTTTGAGCCACAAAGTTCCATATTTCCCTATCTAATGCACACTAAATTCCAGGTAGACAACCAGTCTAATATTATGGAAGAACTAAGTATAGATTCAGACTTTAATATTAGACCTTCACATTTTGTCACAGTGACGGAATTATTTGTTACATGATTAAGAATCACCTCTAAGAAATGCAAAGCTTCTTTACATCCCACTGAAGTTAATGGAATATCAAATGGAAGAATTGATGGAATAACTTCTAATGACACAGAGATTTTGGTGCTCAGTGTACAGGGTCTTTTTTATTACAATGTACACCAAGAACTCCCTTTTAGAAAATATTTGCATTATTTTGAGTATTTTCAATTTTCAGATAGGGAGAAGTGGTGGAGGCATTCAGGTTTCAGTTGTTTTTAAGGAACTCCTGATATTTTACAAAGTGACCTAGAGATACTGATTTGCGCAGAAGATCTGATGTGATTGACAGTAAATACTTCTTAGGACTGTGTAATAAATTGGTCTTTCTCAGTGTAAAACTGACATGAGATGTGCATAAACTCAACTGCATTCTTCTAAAAAGTGCCTGGGGGGTGTATTTTGTGTTGGCTAAGGTGATTTCAAATAATACTGACAAATGCAATCTGTCTATTTAGAGGTCTGCTTGGTGATGATTTACCATTTTTTCTCCTTTCCATGCACCTTTTGGCTTTATCTGTTGCACTGTAGTAAATCTGTACTTCTGACTGCCTTCATGATTTCTCATCCTTCCTGTTACCTCTCAGCACCTGAAATGTTCCTATTTGGACCTGATCTCAGTCCAGGCATGCAGTTATCAGATGATTGGTTATAAAAAGCTTTTCTTTAAACATGTGCATGTCTAGTAAAGGGAAGGAAAAGATATTTTCATTTTTAAGAATATTTCCTCTTCATTTTCTAAAATACTTTATTATTTTTCAGGGGTGTAATAGGAAAACAGGGATACCAATGTCAAGGTAAGAGAAATTCTATATAAGGACAGTTTAAATATATTTATTATGTTACATAAGTAATAAGATATTTTTATCAGGCATCATAAATGTACGATGCTAAGTATTTAGCACATGATAATCAGAATAAGTTTGTCTCAACAATATACAATGTTTGCACCGAGTCACAGTAATTTTTTTCAAAACTGTTGGTCTTAAGCATTATTTATGAAGTAGGAGTTCAGCAAACAGCCCTGAACATCAGATCCCAGATATATCTTCATGCGTATCCATCTAGGGAACCATATCTGTGGATCTTGGCTTCTTCAATTTTCAAGCCTTGCATTTTAAAATTGAGAGCTCTTTATTCTGCTTAAGATTCTGTGTTTAAAAATTCCAGGTAATTGCGAAGACTGTAGTTTAAATAGATGAGATAATTATAGAGGTCATCATTAGAGAAGGTTATAGCAAAGACTGCACAAGTGCTTCAATTTCATCTCCCATTTTTCAATTCAATTTCTTGTACTCCTACTTCTTTATGCCTCTTGGGATGATATGTTAGTACTTAACCCTCATCTAACAGGTAGAAACCATCAAGTTAGTGATGATTTTTCAGGTACAAAAGACTTGCTGCAATCTCATTTTAAATAAGTAAATGCCATTTTTTGATAGAGCTTTACATGCTTTAATAAGAATTACTGTATTAAATCTCATAGCAAAGAAGTGAATGCCATTTTTTTATAGATCTTTACAGGCTATAATAACAATTACTGTATTACCACACAGAGGTATCTGTAGAGGTACCTTGACTTCTGATCTAATTTTTTTTTCTTACAACAATGACCAAAATTGGAGGAAGTGAAATTTGTTACTTCATTATAATGGTTTTTACTTTGCTTAATGACCTTGAATTTTATGGTATGTTAGACCTAGTAATTGTTTATCTTATCTGTCATATCTGCAAATGTTATTCATTGATTAAGTAATCAGTATGCATATTCGCAAAACAGTTTTGCTTCCTGAAACCTTTTACTGCTGTCAACTTAGGATAATGCGTTACAAAAAGAATATTCAACTTTTTTTTCTATCCTTTTGACTTTTACAATGACTTATCTTCTTATCTGCTTTCTTTTAAAAGCTCTTTAAACAGGAATTGTTTTTGTTATTGTGTCTCATGTAATGTGGAGATCATGGCCTTCATCAGATAAACAAATCACATATGTAAAAATTGAGAAAAATTGTGGCTAACATTTCAGAAGTTAATTTGTAGTTTTGCGGATGAGATATTTGGCAGATAAGCTTTAGTTATCTTAAAATTCTTTGGTCTTTTGAAAGTCTATTGTCTTCTGTTTTTGTAAGCCAACTTATTTCATAGGACTCACCAGTCACTTGCACACTTTCAAGTCCCAGTGGTTCCAGTCTTCTGAGATCAGACTTCTGCTTTAAAATTAATCATCATGAAATCTCATTCTTTTATCTGTTTTTGTCTTTCTAGTTTGCACTTGTGTAGTTCACAAGAGATGCCATGAACTTATAATAACGAAGTGTGCTGGCTTAAAAAAACAGGAAACTCACGATGAGGTAAATGTTTATAAATTAATTTTTCTATGTAAAATTCTGTCTTTGATCTGCTCAAAATAATATTATCTCCTCTGTTTAATCAATAGATGCCACAGACTTTTTAATGTCCTTCTGGTCATTTTGTGGTACTTTGGAATGCTAGATTGCTATCAGTTTTATTTACATGGAAATTATCATACAGAAATTTATTTCGAACTGGATTACTTTTTATAACATCTGAGCTCAAAGTTTCAGAGAGCTCTTTCCACTCCTTTTCGCTTTTAACATTCTCTCTCCATTTCTGAGTTAATACAGTTCTTGTCAGTTCAATTCAGAAGCAGCAGGCTGGGATACCTCATTCCCTGGCTGCATTTTGTGTGGCTCAGCCATCAGTGGCTGATCAGAGAGCTGGGATGCTTGGGTGGGTATCTGACACCAACATAAACAACTGACCAGAATTTGCTTGCAGTCTCACCTCAACAAAGACTACATCCAAACTGTCAAAATGTGATTATGTTTTTTTAAATAGTTTCAGCCCTCAGGTATAAACAGCAAATGTTTTTCTTTACACAGAAGCTTTTGTGTTGTGCTTCAACAGAAAAGCAAATGTATGCTCACTGGCCTGTTGTGTGCAGCAGCAAGGGCCTGCTGTCTTTCACCACAGGCTAAGGTGAGGTGGTCCTTGGGTGATCACAGTTCCTTGGCCACACAAAAAATCCTACATTTCATAATTTTATTCGCTAAAAACCTACATTCATAGGATTGAAAAAGCCTGCCTTTAAGTTACAAATCAGAGTTGTATGTAACAGGGCAGTTGTTATCTACTCTAAACTTCAGCATGAGTTTGACTGAGGCACTAACTCATGATCTCATTTTTCTGTGCAATTCACTAGCATTGTCCTTACTGGGACCATTCTGTAATACCAGGTCCACAACCAGTATTTTACATCCAAAATGTGATCACGTGCATACAATTGTGATAAAGGGCTGTGTTGGGCTAGTGCTGGTTTTGTGTAGTACTCACAGGAATATACAAAATCTTGTGCAGGTTTATGTTCCCAGGCTCCAGGCTGGTGGAGATTTGCATACTTTGTTGATGGTCTCATTGTTTAGGAGGGGTACTAGATCACTGGAGAAAAGCCAGCAGTAATAGAAAAGGGAAGGAAAAACATAGAAATAAATCTCCTGCAGTGCAACGGCCTGCCTCTCTGAAAACTTATCAATGACATCCTTTAATTAGTAAATAATCATACCTTGGAATCCCTGAACACAACAGGTTATCATTGTCATTATCATAATCCAAAGAAGAGTGGGATATGAAAAGGTAAAGCATTTATGATATATTTCTTTTTCTAGTCCTGTATTAGTTTGGCCTCATGTTCCTAAAACAATTGGGAGTGACTTCCTTGCCTTCCACATTAAGATCTTTCCTGATAGCTATGTATTTGTTGTTCCCAAAAGTACTAGGAAGTAGACTTTAGTCTTTATCTCTTGGACAGCAGCAGCCCTTCCCCCTCTTTTTCCCAGATAAAGTAGTGAAAAGAATTCTGGAGTGTGTCTAATGTGATGGTCATCATCTGGGCACAGATCTATTTCATCTCATTTGAATTCTGTTTCAAAATGCAACAGGGCCTCAGCATACACTGATTGCAAAGAAATTAATTAAAATGAAATATGCTGTGCTGTCCTTTTTCAGCAAGTGGGATCCCAGCGTTTCAGTGTCAACATGCCTCACAAGTTCAGCATTCACAATTACAAAGTGCCCACCTTCTGTGACCACTGTGGTTCATTGCTCTGGGGTCTTTTGAGACAAGGTTTACAATGCAAAGGTAAGGCACCACTTCAGAGCTTTTCTTTTTCTTTGTGAGTGACTTGGAGACTTGGAAAGACTTCATGTCACTATGTTAGCATGTACAGAAGTAAATAGAAAATAAGTAGTGGAGCTATGTAAGGATTTCCATTATGGTTAGAACATAGTCCTTACCTTGTTGGCAGCACCAGTCAGTAACAGATGCAGAGGTCAGACATTAAGAAACACATTTTGCACTCACTCCTTTGTAGGTTTATTGCCACTCAGGACATTAGAAGCTAACAGAAAATGATGAGCATGACAATTTGCATATCTTCCATTTATATGCCTTTTGTGTTTTCAGGTTTGTTAAACTTTTTAAACATCAATATTCCATCTACTTTTCCCTTTAATGCCATTTTCAAAAATTGCTGGTTTGTATTGGTTAGAGTAGGTAGAACCCGTCCTGTGTCCCCATGTCCAGAATATGAAATATTCTGATACCCAACTAAATCATCCTTTGTGATGGTCTGCTTAGCACCTCTATTCCAGAAAATAAAGGATTCACCATGTTCTGCCACTTAAGGACTATGTACTCTGTACAGGATCTGTATGTGAAAATAAGGCTGGAAGGTGCATTTGTGTCATTTTAGTTGTCAGAAATGTTGGATTCCATATCTCATTATTTCAAGCAGATTTACATAAGGGGTGAGAAAAGAGTACAAACAATTGTAAACCAAAGTAATATTTTAGAAATGGTTTATAAAATACTTCCATTTGTAGGTGGAAGGAAATGATGTAATGAAGGAAATTATTATCAGGTTCTTAGAAAGTAGTGCCTAATAGAATAGTGCCATTTTCATTTTGTTATGCCTTAGGAACCTATGGATAGGTCCATCTTCATAAATAAAAAAATCATGTACACTTCTCAACAGCAGAAGCGTGGGGTCACATGTATAAATATTTTATCTATAAAACTATATCCTTTGCAGTACTTAGGGTGACACTTAACTATAGGTGAAGGTCAGACCTGATGTTTCATGTCATAAGTTGCTGAGTAGCAAGGGAAAGAAGAGATTTCTTTCACAGCAAAGTTATACACAGTGAGACTTCTGAAGTTCAAGACTTCCCTTGTGGTTCCAGCCAGTGAACAGTGAGGACATCTTAGGTTCTAAATGCTGTTACTTTGCAGCTATTGAAGATTTTGCTCAAACGCTGTCTTAATTATGATGGGGATGCATTCAAAGAAGACTTTTCAATTAAATCTGGGCTTTTTCCTCCATTCTTTTTTTTTTTTTTTAATCCAGAGTTATAGTATCTCTCTACCTAATCTGGACATTCATTAGTTCTCTTTCATATTCTATCTCAAGTACCATACTGTTCATTTGGTCTTAACTGTTGTTTCTCATACTGTGTAGCAGATGCATAGAAACAATAGTGCAGAGAGTCTGTGTTGCTTTCTCCCTGTTCATAAAATTATTGCCTATAAAGATGCAGTGTTCTCTGCATGAAATCTAGAGCTCAGCTGAACTGAAAACGTTATTTTCTCTGTGCTTGGTTTTCTCTCTTTAACAAGTGCTTCTTCAGAGGTGTACTTCCTTGCCCAGTGTGGTTATTAACACCATGAGGAGTGTACAACAGAGATTTATTCTTCTTCAGGTTTTTTTCACTGGTTATTCCTGGGCATCTTTTTACAGCAGGAAAATTTTGTGCAGTCCCACTTTATGTATGTATTTTACAAAATGCATACGTAAAGTTGGACTGCACAAAATTTTCCTGCTATTTCAAGCAGTTTGGCTCCTCAATGTCCACTTCTACAGTTCCTAGCGCAAACATTTTACTTACTGCTGACGTTTTGTCACTGAACATACATTCATTGGAAATACCATGTTTAACTGTTTCTTTTTGCTCTTCTTGTGAGCTAAAACATATTTAAAAAGGAAAGTGACCAGCTTTCTGAAGTGCATGGTTATGGCCAGATTCAGTGCCTTGCTATACTCTAAGTGGCAAATGTGTTTTTTTAGCGGCTGTACAACAAAAGCTTTATTGATGAAAAATATAATGAAATGTAACTTTATAAATACATATTTTTATGATTTCTTTTTCTCTAAAAAATAAAGAGGTGAGAAATTTGAACAACTGAATATTAGTCTAGGATTTAATCACACTTGCAGCTGTGCTCTCTTTATGCCTTGCTCCACAAGAGGGCACCGAAGTCTCAGATAAAATAGGTCATCTCCTAACAAATCCGCACTCCGCGAGTTTTAATGGAGCTGTGTTCTTGCCTCTGCCCCATAATCTGGAAGCAAAGTAACCTTTTTCTTCTCCTCATAGCAATATAATAGTTTCAGGAGATTTAAGGGAACGAGCTTAGTAACAGAATTGCCATATAAATAAAGTAGGTGTTTAACCCTTAATTTTTATTAAAACTTAAAGTGCTGTCAGTTTTATGGCTGCCTACATTAGAAGCTAATCTACTTCAGTAAAACAGTGTAAGAAACAATAATACATAAGAATTTAATGTTGTACTTTCCATAGTGGACAGTTAAAATCCAAGATCTGAAGGAATTTTCTTCTAATTCAAATTAGTTTAAGAGTTACAATATCATTTGATAGTTTCATTTGTTCTTGTGTCTGTTCTGGGCACTGTATGAAAATACAACTCTATATTATCATATCAGAAGAATGATAATCAGGTTAATAACTTTAGCATTGAAGTATACCTTCAAATTCAGCTAAGTGTTTTCCTACTGAGATTGTATTTGTTTGAAAAAGTTATTGATAGGTTTATATAAGGCAAATGCATGCCAAGATAGTATTTAATTTACTGTATTACTGTGTGTTTCATTGCAGTTTGCAAGATGAATGTACATCGACGCTGTGAAACAAATGTGGCACCAAACTGTGGAGTGGATGCTAGAGGCATAGCTAAAGTACTTGCAGATCTTGGAGTCACTCCAGATAAGATCACTAATAGTGGGCAAAGGAGGAAAAAGGTAATTTTACTATATATTGTCACATTTTAAAAAATCAGAGAAGTATGACTGTATTGTAACTTGATTGGTTGGGATTCAATCCTGCTCAAATGACTTGCACAGTAATTTTTTTGTATGTCAGTACAGACCTAAGACTTTGAGTTTTATTTTGTAAGTGTAAATCACCTATTCTGAACTTTGGTATGAAATTCATTTTGACCTGGTACAATGTTGCCGATCTTGAGCCTATAATTTCTGGAGGGATTTTGAGGAAGGACGTTTGACAGACAGACAATGTCTGGCAACAGTTAAAAACATAAATGCCTGTTATGGCTCAGAATTGGCATTGAATAATTGATTAATTGATTGATTGGCAGACAGCACTGCTCCATAGTATTGTAAATGTTGATAAACAAGCAATGTGCTGATTCTCATGAAGAGGAGACGTTTTCCAGATTACAGTTCTGGAGTTATCATGCCTTTTGTAGGAGTAACCAGTCTGTTGAAGAAATAAAAAGCATAGGTCACCCCAAGTGCATCCGAAACTGGTGCAGTTATACCTGAGTGATGATGTGTATCCTGGATGACAATGAGTCCACACTTTGTATCTCTGTTTGCCTGATTGCCACAACAGACCCATTGGTCTCACAGAAAAAGGCAATTTAGGCCATAATTTCTTTAAACATTGACAGTTGCTTCTGTTCATTTTCCTGCTTATTGCGCACTGGGATCCCTTGTGAGCTGTTTCAAAACGTTACAGAAATGTAGGAAACTCCAGAATGAGTTAATTGATCTGATACTCCTGGGAAAAGGTGTTGTCATGGTGTTACTGCGTGAGGTAATTTGCAGTGCTTGCTGATACATATGCAGTTAAATATATTTACTGGGTGAATTTGAATACAGACTCAAGGTGGCATCTCAAAACTTTCCCACTCACTGGGTATATACACTAAATTTATTTCATCCTAAGAACCTGCTTTCCTTTCAGTTGCCTGGTTTTTCTCTCTTTGCACCATGGCTTCCATTTAGTGTGATGCCATCTCCTGTATGGCTGAGGTTCTGCCAGTGGGAATCCACAGGGGCAGAAGATCTTCACTTTCCTTCATAGTTCTGCCTCTGAACTAAAGTTGTTGAATTACATTTCCTCATGGCACAGGAAGATCACACCTTTTGGAATTGTTCTTAGCTAATTGCAGGTGCAGAGACTCAACCACCGGTTCCAGGATGCGCGTCGTCAGAAGAAGATAGGTCGAAATCAGCACCAACATCTCCATGTGATCAAGGTAAACAGATCTTTTTATTTCCTATCTAACATATTTTGTCACACATTTTCCTGGAGTAAAAAATAAATCTGTGATCATGAGCCTCTGTAGATGCAAATCAATAAAGCAGTTACCACCAGAAATTGAAGCATTTAAAGTTATGAACTGTAAAATCTTTTAAAAAAAGGCTTGTTTCTCATTTAATTTACATCTGTGAAATTAGGTGGCTTTTAAAGGGAAAATTATGAAACAGTCATCTTAAGACATTATTAAGTTTACTGCATGGGTCCTTGTGAACAAAATATATTTATGGAAGTAGTTTATATATTCTGTTGTAAGACTGGAAAATGTTTTAAATAGTAACACAGACTTGAGAGAGAGCCTATATTTTATTTACCTGAAAACCCATCTGTTAATAAATTTTTGAGATAAAATTGACTCCTTGTAATTCCATGTTGAACGTTTGTAATAATAAAAACTTCCATCTAGACAGGCTATGCTAGCATGTCCATGTGATCTCTAGAGGCTTCTTAAAACCATGTTTCCTTTCAGCAATTTATTTTATGCACAGGTTGGGACACAGGCATTTTAATCTTCGCTGATATGACCTGATTTCATTGAGCTGAGCAGCTGATAGACAGAATGTGTATTTCAGCAGCATTTTTTGAGTCTGATTGAATTGTTTTTAAAAATTAGAAATCTGTGACCTCTGAATCCAGAACTGAGTTAAATTTGTCAACCTTTTGGTTTCACAAAGCATTATTTTCATAAAATCATTATTTTTAAAAATATCTGATGCTTTGTTTAAAATAAGAACAAAGATTTTGTCTAAATTCTCTCTTTGATTTGACATTTATAGCTGTGCAGTAAAGTTGTTGTTTCCAAGGCCATCAGGCAGAAGTACCATACAGGAGCCTGGGGCAGACCCTGAGGACTGTTAGTCACTGGGACTCTCTGTATTTAACGCTGAGAAACCTTCAGAACCGTTTAGCAGATCTACACAATTGCTGCTTGAAGCAGCACTAGGAAGTGGTCAAACACTTTATTGGCAGGCATCTGATAACAGCTGGAGCTGAATAAGATGCTCCATTCATGTTGATTTCAGGGAGCAGGACGCCCAACTGTCCTTTGAACAGAGTTCAAACTGTCCTTTGGAGACACAGCTCTAAAATACTTAAGCAGGAAGATGACTAAGTGCTGCAGGAAGATAGGGATATTCAAAACAAAGTGCTTCTCTGTGGTACAGGAACACCCAAAGTCACTAGAACAACTATTTGGCTACTATTCTGACTTATCTTTCAAGTTTTGGATATGTCATCTTCTTAAGTTCATTTTAAAAAGCCACCCTTCCTGTTAGAGCAGGGGTTTGGCTGATTACTGTAAGGTGGAGAAGCAGTTTGCTAAATATGTGTTCTTAACCGCAGAGTGCTCTTGAACACAGCATTCAGAGATGATGGATGTCCCTTCCCACTCTGATACAGACTAACACAGGCTGGTTTTCTGACAGTTGGTCAAAACTAACTTTTCCTCACATTTCCACAGAAATCAAAGAGCTGGAAAACAACATTAGGAAAGCATTATCTTTTGACAATCGGGGAGAGGAACACAGAGCAACAGCTACAACATCAACAGACAACCAGCTTAACAAACCTGGGGAGAATGGTGAAAATGGGGAGGTCAAACAGGCCCAGAGCAAGAGAATAGGTCTTGAAGAGTTCAACTTCATCAAAGTATTAGGAAAAGGCAGCTTTGGAAAGGTGGGTAGTTTTTTTCTTCCCCTTCTTTTCTTTTTTTTTATTTTAAAGCTAGTGTTCAGGGGTGGTTTTGACTGTACCGATTTGGAAGTGTTCATATTGACATTCAGGAAGCACTTCCAGCCTAGGGGTTTTCTTTTCCCCAATAGATCAAAAGTATCAGTCTCCTGATGAGCTGGCCTTCTCTGCTTTAGCTCACTTTGTTAACTACAGTCAAGCCTTTTGGAACAAAATGTCAGTGGTTCATTAGAGCTACATACATACTGTTCAACAAAATTGCTTGTGGTCAAGCAGGAAAAATCAGGTCAGGAGTAATGCTGTGGGGTTAATTCACTTTCTTGATAATTCCCAGTTCAAGTTTACTTATTTCACAGAACATTGTGCATGCTTTTTTTTCCTCAGTGGGTGTGTTCAGTGCTGGTGGAAGCAGAACTGAAGCATTTCCACTCAGATATGATGAGGCTCAGACAGCTGCCCAAAATACAGTGTAAGCAGCAGAGATGTAACTCACCAGAGCTCCCATAGTAGGGAATTGGTGAGGGTGAAAGGGACATTGCTGTGTTTACAGGGCTTACAGGTTTTCTTTCCATGCTCCTGTGCACGATGGAATCAAAGAGGAGGACTGAAATATGATTCTGTTTCAGAAGTACACTCTTCCTTCCTTGATATTACGGGAACTTCACATGCAGGGAACAGGGTGAAGCAGTTCTTTTGTGTCCCTGTTTTCTAATCCTTTCTCTGAAGAGTGTCCTGGCTCCAAGCCAGAAGTGACCTTAAACAGAATATAGGGCCTGAACCTTAAACAATAGTAGTAGTTAAAATCAACAACTTGAAAGCAGCTGGAATGGTAACTTTGGATTGTATACAAAGTCCATCACACTCAAATCTCACTACCAGAAGTGGGAGATAAAAGTGGGAAATAAATTTCTGTTTTACATCAACTTCCTTGTTTAGTTTTTGAGACCTCACTAATAGATACTCATTAAGGTACTTAACTAATAAACAGAACAGATACATTCTGTTTCAAATGTAAAGAATGTAAAGAGGTGTATGCTTCTAAAATTACAGTACTTTTTATTTTATAACTTGCAGCTTCATTTAGGCAAGTATGTAACAATCTTTCTATTTTCAGGGCAGTCAAACTCATATGAAACCCTTTATTTATGGCATCTACTGTCCATATGTAAAGAGAATTTTTCTTTGGTTTAGGTAATGTTAGCTGAGCTAAAAGGAAAAGATGAAGTATATGCAGTGAAAGTCTTGAAGAAAGACGTCATACTTCAAGATGATGATGTAGACTGTACAATGACAGAAAAGAGAATTCTGGCATTAGCACGAAAACATCCATATTTAACACAACTTTACTGCTGCTTCCAGACAAAGGTAAGCTACGTGAGTCTTTTACCAGTTTCTGCCCAAGGAATAACATTGATTATTTCCAGACTGAAAGAAAGCAACACAAAAAGTGCATCAATATTTTGAAAATATTTCTGGTAAGTTTTTTGCCATTTCAGTGGTATTTTCCGGGAGCACTGGCTGCTGCTGAAAAGCATAACTACTATTACCTTGTAAGTACCAGGAGATGGCAGTAAATGACTTAAAAAAATTTTAAAAATCCACATGCATAAAATGCACAAAAATGGCATCTACTGAAGTGCCGTTTTCTGTTTCTTTGGTACATTAATAGGGTGTATCGCTTGTTGAATTAAGTACAAATGTTTTTAGCATCCAGTGTGGAATACCTGTGTGTAGAATTGCAGAAAAGCAATGACTAAAAGATCTTCCAGCAAAATTGTTAGGAAAGATAAATAGTACAGTGGGAAAGCCATAGGAAAATGGCTAGCAGGATCAAGATTATGGTGGCTTGAATATAGAAACAGCAAACACTTAATAGGTTTATACAGTTCTTAAAATAGTGAAAATGTGCTAGGATTTTATGTGCTTTGAAGTTGGCACAAGCAGTGGCCCAGGTAGGCGTGTATGTCTGTGGAGGGTGTTTCACATTCAGAATTTTATTATGTGTGAACATACTCTTAAAAGGTCTTAACATATTATTTTAAAATTTATAACTAGAATTAAGCATGTTGTTTCAGATGAAAGAAGTTATTAAGGGATTGTAGTGGGGTGAGGTATAAACTCTGTGAACAGAAAGGGGCTTTTAGGACTGAGTACACTCCTTGGAGTGTAAATAAATATATCAGCAGCCTGATGTGAGCCATGTGTCAGAATATTGGTAAAGATCAGTAGTACATTAAGTAAATTATGACAGAAGATTCTCCTGCTACTCCTCTGATTTCCTGGAGATTCCTTTCCTTTTGTATTTTTGGTCTGCTCTTCTCTCTTTTGTACCATGCCGTCTGCCTTCCTCCTTGTTCTCCAAAGCTTTTCATCAAAGATATTCAGAAGTTTTTCTCACTGCCTTCTCTCTTCCTAGATCTCTTAACAGAGAAGAACTGCAGTTTGTGGCTTTTCTTGAGCTCAGAAGAACTCATACTGAAGTGGTTTATAGTCACAAGTCATAGGCCAGCGTCTCTTATCAAACAATCAAAACTACACCGAGTGATACCTAATCAAATTGAAAATCCTCAGTTGAAAAATTGAAGGGTTTTCTTGAGCATGTCATATGAAAAAATTACAAATAATTCTTTCTAAAGGAATGAAAATACCAAACACCAAAATATATGAAAAAGCAAAAGCAATATGTCTGCTAAGAGTCCGCATGATTTATGAATGGCAACAAATGAAAATGTACCAAGTAAATTAGTCACTGAATGATTTTCTCAGGCTCAGTAGAAAAACGGGTAGAGAAACTTGCTTGAACAAACATATTCTGTGGTTAAAATAGCTTCATTGAGACAAAGGCTGTAGTACAATAAGTTTTAAGTGTGTTTCAAGTAGTATATAGTTACTTACACTGCTATTGTGTGCCATGGCATGGTGACTGTACTTTGCAGAACTGGTCCCTGAAGTGATCATGCTGGAATTAAATTTTGCATTTCAAGTAGAACGTATTTGTTGTATACACCCAGACTTAATGGGAAGGTTGAGTCAGTATCCATTGTCAAAGCACTCAGAGGTTGTCTTCATGTAATGAGATCACTTGCTTTGTTCCTCTTCCACAAAAATGCAGATGTAAAAGTTTGACTTTGTATGCTGCAGTGTTGTCCTTCAGCAATCAGCTGAAGACATTGCAGAAAATTTGCCTAATATGCTTTTTACAGTAAGTACGTTTCAGTATTATTTGTTTTTTACATGGAGCAGACTTTTCATTAGTGTCACTTACTGAATGAATCTGTTATTACCACAGCAAGTAAGGGATAATATTTTAAATTACTTTGGAATACAGAAATTGTGCCAAATAACGCCTAACACTAACATGTATTATACACTAGTGTGGTTTAAGCCCTATATATCTAATTTCTTTTAACAATTCCATCTAGCTTCCTTACTTTAATGAAATACTCTTGGGACTGATATTTCTCATGTTCCTGCTTAATACAAAAGCAAACTTTGATCAAACTAATTTGCTTAAAGCTCATCAAAAAATAAGCCACTACTGCCCCCCCAATCAACATTTTAGATCTATTTAGAAATATATAATTTGTTTTCAGTACTTCAGGAATAGTTTTGAAATATGCTTCAGTGATCTGGAAGTTGAGAGAGTTCCAAAACTTGGGATAAAGTGTGCAAAGGTGATAGAGGATGTTTTGTCTGCAATAGTTTGAGGAATGAGCTCCACAACCCAGTCCTACACATCAGAAAAAAGGTAAAACCTACAGTCAGGGCATCAGCTGATCTGGATTTTTTTGTGGAAGGAGCTTAACTCTTTTAGTGCAACATATCTTGTAAACCTGTGTCACCCTTGGGCAGTATTTTTCAACACTCTTACCTATGGCAGGGTATGGTTTTGCCAGGGTATGGTCACTGTGTCTGTCAGCATGTTCAGATATTTGAGCTGTGTTTTGCCTGTGGTCTCTCAGTGGGAATATGAACGATGAATGCTGCATTCTGTATTTGGCACTCCCATGGCAGAACCTGCCCAAGGCCTAGCATACAGGGTGCAGCATTTAGTAACAACTGACCTTTGCTGATCACCATCTTTTGTTTATTCAGGACTTCATTGTGTAGGTATTGTTTTCTCAATAAAGGTATTGAGAAAACATAGGGCATTTTCAGGGTTTAATTTTATTTCCACTCTTCCTCATGTCTTCTCTTTTTTAATGTGTTGGTCCCTTGATTATTCAGTAGGGGGTATCTTACCTGGCAGTAATCTGATGCTTCCCAGGTCCCCTCTTCAGTGTCCTCTTCCCTTTCAGATCATACCCTGCTTCAGGGATCAGCTATGGAACAGTATTACCATGAGGTTTCATTGGTAATGCTTCAGTCAGGTGTCTGACAAAGGGGATTTAAATGTTTCTAGACATGTTTTCTCTGAAGACTTCCTTGTCTTCATTCAGTTGGATGTTTCTGAACTGTGAGAATTAAAGTGCTTTTTATGGAAAGGTCTAGAAAATATAAGTAGCTTCATTTAATTCCTCCTACACCCCTGTCAACTTTCTTCATAAGTACTTAAAATTTTCTAGACCTCTACCCTATGAGATGCATACACATGTATGTGCACACCCTATAATTTATAATGAATTATCCTTATAAATACTTAAGAAATAAAATGGTATTTAAATTATTTAAGGCAGTGAAAGCTTTATTATGATAATTCAGTATAAAATTAGAAAACTAGACAGCTGCTGTTTTTAACATCTGCCATTTGTTTTTTTTTTATCCAACTGCAAAAAATCAGATAAATTTGAAAATAGTGCTCACCTTCTCTTGTCATAACACTACGTTCAACAGATGTAGTAGAGAGTATTTTTAGTGCACAAAATGTTCCTGTTGAATGATAGAGCTGCAGAACTTGTAAAGGATGCTTAGTCAACATTATAGCAATTTCTCTTAGAGGAAACAAGTAGTTAAATGAAGGATAGACAAAGTCAGTTACTACAGCTGAATAGTCAGACTTATGCCACCCATAAAAACATTGTTTTTAAACACTCTTCCTTTCAGTGTTAAAATCAGTGTATGTATCCATAGCATATCTCCTGGGCTGACCTGCAAGGCTGTTCCCTTCTTTCCTGTGTTGTGGTGTTGTAAGGCAGAGATCAGCCATGTGACATGGCAGGGGGACATGGAGAAGGGGCTGTAGTGACCCAGTGTGACTGTGCTGATCCCTTAACTGTTCCTGGTGCCTTACTGCTGCTTTATCCTGGGTTGTGAGTTCTGTGCTTCAGTGTTACTCCTTTCTGCTGTTTGCACTGCACCTAGCACACTCTGAGTAATGCTAGAAGTCTGGTGTTTATAAAGCTGAAATTCAGGATGTCCTTTTCCATTTCAGCTGTCATGATGTCCCTTTGTTATTCTGAAAAATCCCTGAACCTCTTTCTGCATCAGACCCCTCTAAAATCCCAGAGTAATTAGACTTCCTTCCACTATGGCTTGTATTTAAATATTTCCAAAAAGGGTTTGCAAGTCCAGTGGAAAGGTAAAAAAATGGAGTTCTGTTTTTAAAGTGATTTATTTTGTAAGAAACTGTAGGACAAAACAAAAAGGGAAAGACAATCATCATTCTTATGATTTCTCCAAGTCATGTTTTCTAAGTTAATTTAATAAGAATCCTTGTAGTATGTGACCAAAACTGTCATTGGTAAGGTTAAATAAAGTCTTTTTTCTTTTATGTGTATTTGTACCAAAACAAAAATGCAATGTTTTTTGCCATTATAGCTCACAGGAGTGTCATTTATGATATACAGTGCAAATTAACCCAACTGACTTGCCACTGTTACATTCATCTGGGACTAATCAGAGTTTATAATCCATTTTATCTGGTATTCTTGTACTTTCGTTGCTAAGCAGCTAAAGCCATTATACAGATATTGCTATAGGGGTGTAATCAGTTTAACACAAGTTTGCATTGCCTTTTATTACTGATTAGTGTCAAATTAGAACTTTTTAGGGCCCAATTCTGTTCATTATTGTCCCTGCTTCAGTGGATTTGTACGTGTGAGACAAAAGACTAAATTAACCCCTGTATTTTTAGCTATTTTAATGCTAAAATATTTTAATGCATTAATTAATGAATATTCTAATAAAATTAATATGCATTTATATTCAAACCTAATTTAAATATTTTGTTTTTCTGTGTTGCAATATATGCACATACACAGAGTATGTACAATAGTAGGTACTTTTAAATTCCAAATCCTGGTTTATACAGGCAGTACATACCATAAGAAATTAAAATATATTAATTTTGACCTTTTCTTCAAAGTATTTCCTGAAGCACTTGAAGTAAGAATAGTACCTGATGGTGTTTTGTATATCATACAGTT